TTTGCGAAACTCCATGATAATAAGAATGCTTTCCATTTAAGCGACATCGTCACTGTATTTTCATTATCACAATTGCCGGTCACAGTGGCATCATTCGGAACATAAATGCTCACCTCCTAAAAGAAATACAAACATTACACAGTTTTTTTTCTCTCATTTTTATTATATTTATTCGTACATACTGTTATGTATTTTCATTACTGAAATAAAATCTTACTTCATTATCTCCAAATTTTGTTCGATATTTCACCGTAATCAGAGCATCTACTTGTAAAAGGATGCAAGCTTGTCCATTACTACGATCCAAACGATACAAAGGTTGTTCCGTGGAAAATGATCTATGTGTCATTGATGATTCCAAAGACATCGTCGTACTCCTCAGTTCGAAATTTACCGCCGACTTTAAAATAAATCAACTTTAAAGTCATTGTTTGAAATGTGACAAATATTTATTTTAAATAAATTCACGTTCTTTTGATACATGAACGATTAAGTGATTCCTTTCATTTTAATAAAGCATTATCATATCATATATATATATATATATATATATATATATAAACATTATCATATACTCTTTATTAGAAAAAAACATATATATTATTATACATGGTTAGAATATATAGAATACATAGCATATACAGTTCTCTATGTTGAAACAAAATGAAATCTAAAAGATATAACAAGATACAGTTATCAGATTGAACTTGCATCTAGTTCTAATCGATACTTTTCGATCAAAAAAAATAAGTGCGAATAAATTTTAAAAAATGCAATATTCATATATATAATATATTGGTATAATCTCAAATAGTGCTAAAAGGAGTTTAAATCAATTTTTCCATTAATAAATATAATTTTGTTCAACGATAAATCCGATATTACGTTGCCACGACAAAAAACAATTAGTATTAAAAATTCATTTAAATAATTATTCAAACATACCAATTTAAAGGAATCAAAATTATATGCGCGCATTATATCGAAATATGCATTTATCAAAATACATTTACAAAAGGAACAAGTTTTATTATATCATTAATAAAATTAACAATCGTTCACGTTTCAAGATAATATTCTTACCAGAGATTGTTTGGTTTTGGATACAGGCAAATCGACGAAAATTTTTGGCATTCGACGTGTCGTATACAGTTGATCATCTAAATTTTCTGTTGTCGACGAATTAGGCTCGCTGAACGCCGTATTCAAGACACACCCTGAAGAAAAAATCATTTAGAAAATGAGGTAAGTTTCTTAATCATTTTTTGTCATCACTATTCGCCAAAAGAGTGCGCGCGTCGATAATTTTTCTATTAAGAGTTTTTCACTTCTTTGATAAAAGATCGAGATGATTAATTTTAGAAAAAAAATACTTCGAAATACCTAGAAATGATGCGACATATTCTGTTGGTTAAACGATTTAATAATAATGTTATAAAATATTCTTTCATTATGTCTCTTATATTCATTCAAAATGATGATGCAATTTAATTGTCTTAATATAAAAATCAGTATTAGTTGATATGATGATACTATGACAATAGGATACGATTGTGATCGAAGAAATTCTAAATCATGAAAAAATTTTAATCGAATTTAATTAATAGGTTTAAAATAGGTTTAAAATAGTTCGAATTTCATTGTTCAACTAAAAGTCCAAAGTGTATCGTTTTATAACATAAGACGAAATTCAAAACAATGTAAAAATAATCGAGTTGCTTTGATTTTCAAAATTCTTCATTGTAAAGATATTAAATACACTACCATCTCGTTGCGAATTAACAATATTAACAGCAAGCTAATTGAGAAAACTCACAGAATATAAATATTGTTTTAGTATTATCCATACGGCGTGACATCCTTTATAGCCAAACAAATTCGGTAATAAATATTAAATAAATACTTGATTTGGTCTGATTATATAGCACTCAAGACGATTTCACTTGAACAACGTACGCAAAGCTTGTGAACTGAATGCGAAAGCTCAGGCGCGAATGGATCGATAATTGTAGCTTTCAGCATGCGCTACGAAGTCTTTCTCTATACACGTAAACGTAGAAAAGCATAAGAATAAAATTCGTTCAATGGTTCTCTTCACGGTGGCGTTGTTGGAGATATTAAGCGTCGGCGTCGATGTTGACGTCGACGTTGGCGTTGGCGTTAAAGTTCACATCGGCGTCGATATCGACATTCATTATTATATTCAACTATGCGTTTTAACTAAACTTCTCGATTATGATCTATGCTATATTTATCTATATATTGAATGTAATTGTAAAATGAATCGCATTTATGTTTATCAAATCAAATCAAAAATAATATTTATGTAAAAAGTAAAGTAAGAAAAAAATATTCCGTTTTATTTGCAATATGTAAGAGAAAAAGAAGTTATAATAGTTATAATTATTTTTATAATATAATAATAAAATTGAAAGAATATTAGTAATTATTTTTCGTTCTAATAAAAATTTTTGTTTTAAATGTGACTTAAATAAAATAAAATCATATAACAAAACAATTTTATTCAGATTAATTTGATACATGTAAACTACATATTATTGTTCAAAAAGAAATCGTATTAATATATAAATAATATTTCATTATTTTTGTAATAATCACTAAGTCCAGATGTGACATTTCACGTAACATAAATATTCCTTATATCTATTGTAAAATCATTTTCTTCAATTATTTTGTATTTTCTTATTATTAATTACTTTTTCTTAATGATATTCATAATAATTATTTGAAATAATGTAATGTTAGAAGTTGAGAGATTACTAAGAAAAAATTTATTGTATAAAGCTAAAATGTCAAAAGTTGAATTTTGCATATTTACATTTAAATTTAAATACAGTATTCGATTCTTGAAACAGATGGCGTACTTACATCGCGAAAATACTTATTTGTTTGCATTATCCTCCACCAGATGTCTATTTGCATGTTTCAATGCAACACAACGATTCGTTTCTATGTGTCCATCGGTCACGATCTCAACTCAGAGATAGGAGCAAAACAAGATAGTTTTCACTGTGAGTAAGCTCGAGTTCCTTATAAAGGTGAAAAAATTCAAATTTTAACTGAATTCTTCATTCGTGGATGTACAAATTCATGGTTGAAAAAGATTATTAATGCGTTTTTCGAGTGGAGGACTATGTTGACTCTCAGAGTAAGGGTCGAAGAAATATCAAGGGCTAAGTGAATTGCGTAGTGAGAAGAAAATTATTTCTGATTTACAGGCGAACATCGCCGATCGTTTTGCAGTTATCGCCGTAGTTCGATCGACCATTCAGAATTTCTTGATTGGAAAGAATTTTGTTACATTTGCTAAACCTCAATCAAGAATGTCGTTCGAAATTGAAAAACGTAAGACATACGATCATTTTGTTTATTTTGGTAGTTATGTAAATGTTGATCGTTTTGATTGTTTGTTGCAATTGAATATAAGTTACGTCATCTCAAAATATCAAATATGAAACAATATATACAAAAAGGGAAATGTCACAAAAACATCGTTGATTATTATTATCTGTGTTAAACAGAGAAATTCTTGAACATGCCGCCAGAAGAAAAAAGGAAATACTATAAGGGAATTATAAACACGATAGACGAAATACCAACATGGTTCCAATATTGGAATAAAAATAAAGCAAATATAAGTATACCCGAGCTTGAAAAAGTTGAAAAAATCAACGAAGAAATGGCTAATAAAATTTCGATATGGCAAGGAGATATCACATCTCTTGAAATAGATGCGATCGTCAATGCAGCAAACTCGAGTCTTCTTGGCGGCGGTGGAGGTATATTAAAACGTTTTTTACAATTAAGAATTGAAATAAAGATATGAACAATATGTTAAAAAAATATTTAATTATTTTATAGTTGATGGAGCTATACACAAAGCTGCTGGACCTAATTTGAAAAAAGAATGCGCTACTCTAGGTGGATGTCATGTCGGTGAAGCTAAAATAACCGGTGGTTATATGTTGCCAGCAAAATGTTAGTATATTCTAATATAAATATAAAGAGAATACTAGTTATATAAATGTAATATTTTAGATGTGATTCATACTGTTGGTCCGCAAGGGGAAAAACCAGAAAAATTAAAGGAATGTTATGAAAATAGTTTAATCGTTGCTAGAGAAAATCAATTGCGCACAATTGCTTTCCCTTGTATATCAACAGGAATTTATGGATATCCACAAAGACCAGCAGCTAAAGTGGCTCTATTGACAGTCAAGAAGTTCCTAACAGAGAACAAAAATACTGTAAGATTCTATGTTAATAAAGTATAATATGTATTGATACATTAAAATATTGATATCTTTTTCAAATTACAGGTGGATAGAATAATTTTTTGCCTATTTTTGAAAACCGACAAAGATATATACGAGGAATTGTTACAAAAATATTTTGCTATTGATTAGATTACTCTCTAACAGAAGTATCCCATGTTTTGAGATTAAACTCGAAACAAACAGAGTGAAACTGTATCAGTATACACATCGAATAATATTCATAGAAAAATATCAAAGTAATATATTTTTCCTAGACATCTCCTCTATTCGAAACGTGTTGGAAAATCGGTTATCCGGTATTTCAAAAATTATGAATATAAGTGATTCAAAAGTTCGCGGGTAAACGTATCGTTCGTTGTCGCGAAGCGTCGGTGATTAACGCGATCGCAGCGCTGCAACTTTAGAGCCCATCCGCATCGTGTTTCGACCCGACGACGGTACGTCGCCATCTTGAAAAATCAAAGTGTGGTAATGTCTGTATGTGGTAATAGGTGGGGGACGGTCGTTAATGTGGTGCGTCTCGTACGGAAAATCTGTCACAAATGGGTAAATATCTCTTGTATTGAAGCCGTTCAATTAAAGGATCATTCGGTTTTGGTTTTTATCGCGTCGATCGAAACGTGAGAACACTAGCAAAAGAAGCACACCCATAGCTTCGTAGTGCTCTTGCCGATCTGTCGTGGCGAAGGTGCGTTCTCTCAACGAAGATCGCGGCTAGTGAGTAGTGCTTGCATTCAAGGAGTACAGTGTCATTTCTGTGGACAGTTTTTAGAATTTTAAGATCGATTAATACCATTCGGATTGCGTTTTCATCATCTTGTCGTTAGTAAAGCAATATCGTCGCGTCGTCGAATCTCGAAATATGTGCGTATGCGCGTTCGCGGCGTGAAAATTATCAAATTCGTCGGCTTGCTCCAAACAGTTAAAACGGGACTAAAATATTAGGATTTCGTGATAGAAACGGAACATAGGTTATATGTCGGTAACGTATCCTCTTACTCGATCGCTCGGACAAGGCGGACGTACGGACGGAGTCCCGTAATCCTGAATGGCCGCCGCTACCGCTTTCTAGGTTACTGACGGACATCCAAAGAGAGCGACAGAGAAGGAGCGATTGAAATAGAGAGAAAGAGCAGGCACTAGAGTGAAAGAGTATACGTGCACACGAGTGGGATAGAGAGTGAAAGAGTGAGAGATAGATAGGAAAGACAGTGTAATAGAAAGAGTAAACGAGAGGGAACGTCGTGTAGAGAGGAAAGAATAGAATAGTCGCAAAGAGAAGAGAAGAAAAGGGTTGAGAAGAAAGGGAAGGGACGGGAAGGGAAGGCAGGGGAAAAAAGCAAAAAGAAAAGAAAAGAAGAAATGGGAAGCGAAGAGAAAGAAAAATAGCGAGCTATCGCGCGCATTCACAACTTTAAACGCAATCACCGATGTGTGACCTCCGAGATATCCGATCATCACCGTTTTTCGAGTGTACTTTCCGTATTCGCCACCGATTTCGGATCGGAGACTCGTTGCATGTGGCAGACGAAGCTTGAATCGCTGGTGCTGCTACTGTCGCTGGTGCTGCTACCACCGCCGCCGTCACCGCCACCGCCGCTTCCACCGCTGTCCTCGTCAAGCACCTCAACTTCAACGCCGAGACTTTTACCTTAGATAAACGCGTGCTGCTTTCGTACTCGTACGCGTGTATATGCATCTCGACGTGTACGTATCTTAACGGACTAGTGATCCCAGAACGTGTTGCGTCCTAGCTAGCAATACAAGTGGGTGTGGGTTTCGTTCGTATGACTGGCGTGTATGCATGCGCGTGTGTCGCGTCTATGTGCCGTGCCGTATGTAATTGCGCTCGCGCGCACTATGGCCATATACGATCGCTCGTTTGTGTGTACATTCGTGTAAGGATGGTAAGTATCGAAAAAGTCAGACTCGAATGGAAGAAGTTATCTACGAAGCATGTCACGAGAATTTATTTTACTCGTTTTCATTTTTTCTTTTTGCTATTATTTTTATTTGAATCAAAACTCGGAAAAGATTTTTCTTCAATTATTCATCGGATTTCCATAGTCGTTGATTTCGCTTACTAGTCAACCTAACCCCACATTTTACTCATTCTCTGTCACGAGCACACCTCGAGGCTAGTTGGGGAGCGCGTTTCTCGTTGACGTATCGCCCCGCTACCCAAGCTATATACATACATAAATGAACAAAGTAGCGTATATACTTCATGGCGTGTTCAACACCGACCAACGTACGCGAAACCGATATGGCTGTAAAAAATGAGGCATCGACGTTCACTCATCGAAACAATGCGTATGACAATCATATCGTTTGCTAATATTTACGTGTCATTAAGATTATTTTCGGATTACACGGACTGGATACCAGTAAATTTTTGTTCTAATTAAAATATTTATATTTTTTTTATCTATAACCTTTATTTTTTTCATTGCAAATTAATTGCATTTTTCGATTATTAAATTTTTCTTAATTTAAATCTATAAAGAATTACTATTATAACATCCGCTTATTGATCGATTGATAGTCATAAATTATGTTTCTCTATCCTCTATGAAACTGTCATTCTTTCCTTTCTTCAAATATATTATTTTTTCATTGCAATTTTTTCCCCTCTACTCTATACTTTGATTTTATTTATTTATTTTGAAAGAACTAATTTTTTGACACTTTGATTCAAGAGGATGAAAAGTTAATATTGCAACAATAACAATCGATTCGATTAAACATTACTCGTAGAATTTTACGCAATTCGTTCGAATGATATTGCAAATATTGATCATTTCTAACAATCCCTTTGTACTTTCACGATCATGTTCACGATTCAATCAAGATATTCATCGTTTACGTTAACTTCGAGCATTGTTCTTTGAACGATTGCTCTGTTTCGTAAGAAACAAACACGCTTGATATGTGAAAACTTGGCATTTTGTTGTTATTCGTGTTCCAATTTTCTTTCCGTGTTCATGATATATATATGTATTAATTAAGTAATACCGATTGCCAAATACATATGTTCATCATTATTATCATCATAGATTATACGACTTAGTGTCACATTTTACCGATATTTGCTGTTCTTTTCTAGATTTCACAAGTTATACTCGATTTGAAAGAACTATACAAACTTATCTTTAATAAACGAGTCCGCAAATAGGGATGGATAGCAATAGATAAAAGAGAAGGGGGGTATGAGTATTAGTTGTTACATGTTAGCCAACGATTTATTCTTGGATTACATTATGGAACCCTGGTTCATGCGTTTATGTAAGAGTCTTGATCCGTGATACAATCAATGGAAAAGCAAAACAAAGCAAAACAAAAGAAGAGAGAAACTTTTCTCGTAATTTTTCAAATTACAAAGTCGAAATAGAATAATTAAATTTTCGAAGTAAAAGCGATTATGTGTAACGATTATAGAGAGAGCGGCAGTAATTGGTTGGTTTAAGAAGTTTCAAAGTAGTTCGACGATTCGGGTTTTATGTGCGTGATTCGATTTATAGTTATATGGTTTAAAATCTAAAATCCAATTTTGCTTAATGCTTCATACAATCTATATATTTTCGATTATCAATCTTTTTCTTGGCTTACTCTTGGTTCGTCGAATAAGTTTAGCGCATCGTATGATTTCCGTCATAGTCATGGATATAGACATCGCGCGCATTTTATAACCAATTATATTATTATTTTATAACCGATTCAAGTAGTTTGACACAACACACGCGTTTTTTTCCACCGCAAAATTTTCAATTGAAGTTTTTTTCAGTCTCTTCAAATAATTCGCGCACACTCACTTTCAATGATTCTATTATTAGTTTGCAATGTTTTACAGGTGTCGACTAAATATTAAAAGCATATTCGAAACACTTGTTTCATCTTCATTCGAAATCGCACTGTTAATGAAAATTATTTTTTAACTTATATATAATTGAAACGATCTTGATTACATAATCATAAAGAATTTAACACATATTCCGATTTTTTTATAAAAAAAAGTTAAATTTCTCTTTCTTATGGTAATATTCTCTATTTTTCTCTATTTATAGTAATATATTGGCCTATGTTTTTATCTCATAAAGTGATTGATTAAAAACAAAAATGTAACGATATTCTCGCTTAATATTTTGTGCCTTGATAGACATTGTGTAGCGATGTTAAAATTATATAGGGTCGCGCATTGATCAATTCCATGGCAGATAACATCTTTTCTTATAATCTTGATTTTTTTAAATTTGTTTCTTTATTATTTGATCGAACCATTGACCAATTGGTTTTACGAATTGATTCGTATCATCATGTAGCAGAGATAATACTTTAAATAAATTAATAATTTTGGTGCTGAGGGATAACTTTGGCCAATTTTATTCCACTCGAAAAATTTGCATTGGAGCATTTGAACGAATAAATGAACGCATTGAAATTGAAACATTTATTATTTCTTTCATCTTTTTTAGAAATTATTTTCTAGAAATCGAAGCCATAATGTCACTATATGTTTTTTTTTTTTTTTTTTTTTGGAAAACATGGATGAATTATATGATTAAGTGATTCGTGCTTAAGTATCGTTTATTCGAAATGGGTGCAAAAGCGCAGCGAATGTGTAATGTTTTCTCTTTACTGTTTAAAACGCCGCTTTCCCTGACTCGATGCATTTACACGCGACACGCGATTTTCGTATTTTCCGACATCTCGTTCGCTCTGATTACACGAGACTGTATGCGATAATAAACTTTTGCTACGAATTAGAAAAACGAAAGACGAAATTGGCCAGATGTTACTAGAAGCAAGGTATAATTCACTTTCGCCTACCTGTACACATGTCCATTTCTATAGATGAATTTAATGATGCAACAGCGTCCGCATCCTCCCGTTCGTATCAGATCACAAAATATCGAATTCGTATCCCAGTTCAAAGATTTGAGAACGTTTGTTTACGCAAAAAATTGATGCGTAACTGATAGATTGAAACGTAATTACAGTGAAACAAGTCGAAAGAACATTTTCTAACTATACAATCACTATTATTGTCGACGATAAACGTCACATTTTCAATGGAACGAAAAAATTTTCGCGTTTGTTTGCCGGATTGCATACCATTCACGCGTCGTGGATTCACGGTGAAGATGCACGCATCGCAACGGAGAAGGTGCGTTAGAATCGCGACCGCGCTCGGTCGACCGAGTTACTATTATAGAGCAGTCTAATGATCGTCTATGGGCCAGATGCGCAATGTTATCGCTCATGTCAGTCCGTACTGTCGATCGTTGCGAAAATAGCCGTACTTTTACTCGTCTTTCAAAGAAAGGAGATTACATTTTCGCAAGTCGTTGAACCATTTCAAATTTATCCCCGAGAAAAAAGATTTTAATCGAAGTGCGTGAATATTCTGTTTCAGGCGTAAGGGGAGAGGGTGCATCGTCGAAGCGTTGGAGGGTTTGAGGCAGTAAAACTGGCTGGCCTACAATGTCCGCTAGTATGCGGAGCACTTTGCAAACTGTTCCAGAATCAGTGCCGGCCGACCACGTCACAAACTCCAAAGTAAGTACGAAAATTTATGGGAGAACAAAGCCCATTAAGCTCGTGCAATCGTAACTGTTCTCTCGAAGATGAAATGGCTCATCGTGTTTTTAAAAATGTCACGCATGAACGCGCAATTTTTGCAATCTCGTGCGCGTTCCATTTCGAATCATAATAGAAGAAAGAACACGATCGCTATTTCGTCGATCGATAATGTGCCTTGTCACGCAAAAGTGTTAAGGGTATGGTTGAAGGTTGAACGATTACGTTCAGAAAAAGGTTTGTATTCGCGGTGCCCGAAAAACAGAATTATTTTGTTTGAAGCTTCGCATCGAAGTTGCAGTTAGAAAATAGTAGAAGAAAAAAAAAAGAAAAATTATTATCGTTTAAAAATTGAATCAAAATAGTTTGCCGTCAGTATGACGATCTGAACGTAATCGTGCGTATTTGATTATGTTGCTCTGTTGTAACGGATGCGTAATTCAAGGGTGCTTCGTGACATGTTTGATTAACGGTTCGGGGTACCGCAGAGTACTAACGTAATATTTTTCGATGATAAAAAAGATCTGATTGTAAGAAAAGAAGGAAAACATATTTCGCGCCTACAATTGAATTCGTGAAATCGATGTTGTACTCAATCGGAAATTGCAAACGTTACCCGAATACTTGATTTTTACTCGGTCGAATAGGTCGGATTCTGTTTCGCGCATCGAGATACGTGCAATACCCGATGACTCGGCTGAACAGGTTTCCACGATTGGTTGCTTTCGAATTTTCTCTCGGTAATGTGGTCGGTCGGTGGCCGAGTTTATTTTTTGAATCAATTGCATCTTGCCAGTTTTCATATCATATGCGTCGTATAGTCTAATAAAACTTGAATAAGTTGAATTGATATCTCGTTATATCCACTTCGTCAATAATTGTACATATTCGATAATATAGTCTATTTATCATTTGATTAAATAGCTGAACGTATATCCGATGTTTTGACGATTGGAAAATTTCTATATTTTTCCCATCCCAACTATATAAGGATGTATATTCGGCTAATATCAATATTATTATTATTATTATTATTATACAGATTTTTTTCGTTTTATTTTTCCAAATCCAATTCATTAGATGATTATTAAAAAGAAAGTTTGGTTAATCGGAAATGCATTGCATCATATTAAAAAAATATTAAACTAGCAATTTTCGAGAATATCATCTCGAGCCATCATTTTATATATATATATATTTTTGATTAGAAAATTTTTTTACATGAAATGCCTTTTCCTGAAAGAGGACAAGAGAAAAAGAGAGATGGAAGAAAAATCGTCAAATTGATGAAACTTATCTAGTTTCGACGAGAATGTTTCGCATTATATATTCGTTGATCGAATTGTAGCGAGAATCGGATAGTGCGTTGGGCAGAATTGTATGGGCGCTGATTCGTTTACAACGATCGCGTGTGTAGTATACCAGTCGACTCGCGCGACGTTCCTCCTTCTTACTTTCTTTTCGTCTTCCTTTTTCATCTAATCGTCAGAATTGCTCTCTTTTCGTCGACACGCTTATTCATTGGCGTTGATAATTGTTGAGCTGAATATCAGCTGGGAATGCCATGCAACAAGAAGTGAAACATTAATTGAAGAAAAAATTCAATTGTTTTTATTCCGAAATATCATAATACAATCAATCTAATACATAATTCGTATAATCAAATGAATTGATTATAAGGAGTAATCGATTAAATGTATATAATATTGCGAATAGAAAATGATTACCTGTGGATCTGTTGGTTTAGAAAATATATTACTAACGCGCCCTCGTTCTCGATGTCGGGGTTATCGGTTCACCTTGAATTGCTTGAATTCGATTGACCGCGAACTTTGTGCTCGCTAGCTGATGCCTAAGTTTAGCCACTATCTTAAACGAATTCGTTTATAATTATTCGTTAAGCATGAATCTAGTTCACGGCATTTCGCCAATTCGTCATAGACTATGATGCGTAGCCAACCACACATGCAGATCCTTTCTTCCTTTTGCAAAGAAAAATTGTCATTCAATTTTTTTTATAATTACTTAATTTTGTCATTGAGATCTGGTATTGTCTCCATTTTAATCCTTCATCGTTTATAGTCTAATTTCTTTTTTTTTTTAAATACCTGTTCTTCCTATATGCAAGCAAGCGTTGTCGAAGAGTCCGATTATAATGAAACAAAAAAAGATCGAAGATAGCGGCGCAGTGAGAAGTGAATAAAGAAGAGAATTATGAACTACGGTGCAATGTATTTTTATGGTTAAATGGAAACTTTTATTCTCAATTCAAGTATTGTCCTTACTTGCTCCACCCTCGAATTCGCAGATCAATCTATCCTCAACTATATTTATCATTGCTACTAGACACAAACATTTTTGTTTTTAATTGCACCGTTATTGCCCCCTTTCTCCTCACTATTTCATTATTTTTTTAATAATATTTACATTGAATCACATTAATTGTATAAACACTTACATACATACAACACTTACTTGAATTACATAGTTTGAATTTGTCGCGAAGCTCATTTATTTTTCATCGCTTCACCAATTCAGTCACAGATTATATTTTTGTTTCTAATTTTCTGCGTCATTTTCCCAGCTTTCTTTGTATAATCTTCTCTAAACTAACTCTTCAAATATAGCACAATTAAAAGACACGAATGAAACGAGAACGGTTACTAGCTAGACAGTGCACCGATAGAGTTTCAAATTCACTTGGCAAAACTAACGCCAGATGGCGATCGTTACCTTTCTACACGAATTCATGTAACGGGAGAGGAAAGAAAGAAAACGATACAAAGGATACTCGACGAGACATTTCTTAACTTCATTGTATCGAATGAACTTTTATAATATCCATAATGTAAAGTATTTCATTTCGAATATCCATTATAGAATTTTGAGAACAAAGGGATAAATGATATTGTTTATTAAATATATGTAAATGATATTACTGTTTTTATTAATTTTTATTCGTATATCGAATAATTTATAATTTCACGATTCTATTTGTGAACACGAATCTTCTTCGACACAGCTATAAAACAGTATGAAACAGCTGCTAGCTTGGTCAAGAACGACAGCGATCGCCATAAATGGCAGTGCAACCGTTCATTGAGAATCTATTGTCCCCGCTCAAACACAATTCCTTTACATTTGCCCATCTCGAGTCGAGTCAATTGTTTTCATGTCGATTTCCACCTACGGATGGTGAATAACTGTGGAACGATCACCAAACAGTGTATAGCAACGCAATATATGTATATCACTGAACATTTCATAACGAAATCTTCGTTGCTAATTGATTTACGACGCGTAATTTCGTTATATTTTTCTTTTTATAATAAATGAAAAATAATGATTGATATAGCGTTACATTCCAGAAACTCGTATATTTCAATAAAATTTTATATTAATATTAATACATACTTATAAAATTACAAAGGACGAAAATTTAAATTCTGAAAATTAGTTCTAAAAGAAAAGAAAATTATATACAAAGTGTATTCATGGCACATTATGAGAACTAATTTTAAAGACTGAAACAAATACAAAACTTAATATGGAAAAATATCGATTAAGATTTATTTATTAAGTTATAAATAATTAAAAATTGTATTAAATTTTGAAGCAAAACAGAAATTCACTCTGTTTTCGTTTCATTATCACCGTACTCTATTCTGACTCTAACTGACATTTTGTTAATGTATGTATTTGTTTCAACCTTTATAATATTTCAAAGATAAGACACAATTATATCAATACTTTGTGTATATATATATATAGTTATTGAAAAAAATTTAACCGAATTCGAAATATAATTTTGAGTTTGATATTTATTGAATATTAAAGGTGAAACATCGTTTTTTTTTTTTTTTTTTTTTTAAAGAAAATTTCATTTCTATCTTTACATTTAATGATCATGACGACGATGGTGATGATTGTAGTAATAGTAATAATAATATAATATGTTCGAAGATTTTTGTCATAAATTATTTATTTCAAGACATAAAGGAATATGATGAATCACAAAACAGATACTTTCTCCAATTACTATATAGCATTGGAAGCGTTGTTTCTTACAAACACATTTTTAAATCGATTTTAAGAATTGTTTTAGTAAAATTTAAAAATTTTTTCAAATTAAAAAAATTTTTAACAAATTTACGTTTATAATATAATAGACGTTATATTTGGTAACTTTTAATTGGTAACTTTTAATTGATTTTTTCCTTAAAATATAAATATAATAATAAAATATTAAAAGAAATGTTTCAATTTACGAAAGAAAATAATTAAAAAAAATGTTAAAAATGATTTCGAAATTAGTTTATTAAAATATTTATATTTATAAAAAAAATTATAAAAATATATTCACAAATTTAAAAAAAATCTTCGAGCATTATATATAATTGTAAAAAAAAAATTTTAAGCTTTGAAATAAACAATTTGTGACAAAAAAATTTAATAATTTTTTGAATATATTTTGTATTATTTTTTGACAAATAACATTTTTTACACGAGAAAAAGAAAATATATATATATAGAAAAATAAAAAAAATTAAAAGAAAATTAAATAAATATAAAAATTGATGGAAAAATGAAAAAGAAAAAAATTTAATACTTTATTAATGAACTAAAATTTAAAAAAAGCCTGAATTGAAACATGTTCCTTTTGAAAATAAAAATTTTACCTCCACCGCATTATCACGCTAGAAGAGCGTTTTTTCTCGATCAACGAAGCTTATCGTTGATTTCTCAAAAGCTACGAACAATACCTTCGAAAATAGTTTGTATGCGATTTCGTGTCACTTGAAGTATCACGATTAACAGTGGCAAGGCTTCATATTTTTTTTTGCAGATTAATCGAATATCGAAGAGGAAAGCAACGTCAAGCAATTAACTTAGCACGACTATGCATGTTTTTTGCATCTATTCTCTTGAGCTTGATCTTTACACTAATTTTTGATAGCAAACAAATATATATTCGTCATTGTTTTCTATTTTATTTTTTTTTTCTTTTTCCTTCCCCGCAAATCGCATTTTAATGAAATTACAGAAATGCTAATTCTTCTTTGATTTTGATAATTACTAAATATAGAAATTAGTATATTATAGAAACTAACTTTTTTCTATATACATAACTGATAGTGAATTTTAGTTTTAGAAATATTTGAAAAAAAAAATATTATTATTACATAGAATTTTGTCTGTATGTATGTGTCAATGACAGCAACCATAAACATGCAACCGTCACTTTTTTTTTTTGTTAATATAAATACATCGCACTGCTAGATAACTAATACAAAGATGAATTGATTTCCTTATGAATTATGATACATTTGAATTATATTAACCTCAATTTGTATCGAGGATATATGGATATTCTCACATTGTTAATATTTATTTTTCGACCTGCGAAAAAAATAAAATAAAATAATGAAAATAAAATATAAAATAATCTTTGAACGATCAAAATTTTAATAACCAAATGATAATAGCAATATCAACTGATATAGATATTTAATATCTATTATTATAACATTGGTTATTGTAATTCGGTTATAAGTTCGTTAAAATTAGTTATAATTAAAAGTTGTTTTATATTTATTTCTCAATATTGTATCGGTTATTAAATGTAGTGATATTAATTCGTTACTTTCCAGATATGCCGCAAGTATTTATATAAACAATTGATAAATAATAATCGCATAATTATTTATATAAGTGAAATTTTATATATAACAATCTTTTTTTATAAATATTTCAAAAACTAAGGCCGGTTATAGGCATAGCAAAAAGTTTTTTTTTAGAATTTTGTTTTCTATAATATTTGAAAATCATTGAAATAGAATATAGTTTTACAACTTTACCTCTATTTTCGCTATGTAAAACGTAGTTTATAGTTTAAATTAAAAATGGAATAGATTCGAATTCAATCGCATTGTCCTTATGCGTCTGTAATGAATTTCATCTATCTATTATTCACTATTATTCACAAACGTTTTTGGAATAGAAAAAAAATCAATTCAATTGTTATATATTACAATATAGAAACAATTTTACAAAGAAAGCCAGACGAAAAAATTTTGAAACGTTGAAAATCACCTTGAAAATATTAGAGATACAATTTGTTTCTTAATATTAAGGTTAATGTATGTAAATATATACATATACATATTTATGCATGCAGCTCAATTTTTTGAAGAAATGAAAGAATAAAATATCGTTTCATTTAAACAACTGGAAATATAACAAACGTAATCCATTGCTTGCTTTCTGAGAAAAAAGAATTTATAAGTTTTCTCCTACAGTTAATCTCGATTATAGTACTTATATGTGGTAGTTATCCATTAATCTTAATCCATTCTTTCCTTTATCTGACATTCTAATGCGTTTCTTATCGTGTAGTCCTTTCGAGACCCCTTCTATGCTTAATACAATGCCAAGGGTGTGCTTCACCCACTTCGCATTGATTATACAGGTTTGGAGAATCGATAAATCGAAGGTTAAATACATATGACACGTGTGTTCAGAATAATAACATCAGTGTCGCATGAAGTTCCTAAAATTGTTAATCTTTAACAAAATGTAAGCAAGGATCTCTATCTAAAAAAGACCCTTCTATTCTTTCAGCTAAAAAGTTATTTTTGCTTTCGATTGACAACATTCAATCAACATTCTGTCTCTTTGAAAATAATGATAAAGGATATCTATATTTTTAGAAAAAATTACATTAACGAAGTTAGTTACGCGGTTCTTTTTTACTGTTATAACGATTATTGCGTCACTTGTTAGAATGACTGTAAAACTTTGAAGAAAAAAGTTGATTTAATCGGTATGTTGTCGGTGTAATCAGTTGTATGTGAGTCAGAAAAGAACGCACATAGTAAAAGTGTCCGACTTAAGAATGCCATAACGAGCGAAACATGACATAGGAATGCAATTGATCACAATTGATTCTTTCAAAAAACTTTTTTATCGAATTTACATAAAATATATTATATAAATATATTTTAATATATAAATTAAAAGACGAAAATAAGATTATCTCTCTCATATTCTAAGTTTATGTAAA